GGGCTATGGTAGCTATTTTTCACGATATGATGCATAAAGAGGTTGAGATCTATGTAGATGATATAATTTGCAAATCCAAAACGGAGGGGGAGCACGTCGCCAACTTGCAAAAACTCTTTCAAAGGGTACGGAAGTATCAACTCAAATTGAATCCAAGCAAATGCAGTTTTGGAGTAAAATCTGAGAAAGTCCTTGGATTCATCGTCAGTCAGAAAGGTATAGAAGTAGACCCCGAAAAGGTCAAAGCAATCATGGAAATGCCAATTCCTAAAACTGAGAAACAAGTCAGAGGATTTCTGGGTCGACTAAACTATATCTCTCGCTTCATCTCTCAACTTACTGCAACTTGTGAACCCATTTTTAAGTTGTTGAGGAAGAATCAGGCCGTGAAGTGGAACGAAGATTGCCAGTCAGCCTTTGACAAGATCAAGCAATACCTGACAAAACCCCCGATCTTGATGCCTCCTATGCCAAGTCGGCCATTAATAATGTACCTAACTGTGTTAGATGAGTCTATGGGTTGCGTCATAGGGCAACATGATGAATCAGGAAAAAAAGAGCATATCATATATTATTTGAGCAAGAAGTTTACTGAGTGTGAAATAAGATATACATTACTGGAGCGTACTTGTTGCGCCTTGGCTTGGGCAGCCCGTCGTTTGAGGCAGTACATGTTGAGCCACACCGTCTGGTTGATATCCAAGATGGACCCAATCAAGTATATCTTTGAGAAACCCATTCTGACAGGAAGAATTGCTAGATGGCAAGTATTATTATCTGAATATGACATCATTTACGTCTCTCAGAAGGCCATAAAGGGAAGCATCATTGCCGATTATCTGGCCAACCAACCGGTAGCTAAGGAGGAATCAATGAAGGAAGAATTTCCCGATGAAGGAATTATGATGGTATCTCCGGATAACGAAAGACGGGATAATGGATGGACACTAGTATTTGATGGGGCTTCAAATATACTGGGTCATGGCATAGGGGCGGTATTAATATCTCCGGAAGGCAAGTTCATACCCTTCACTGCCAGGCTATGCTTTGATTGTACAAACAATATGGCGGAATATGAGGCATGTGCATTGGGTTTGAAAGCGGCATTAGAAACAAAAATCAAATCTTTGGAAGTGTTCGGGGATTCAGCTCTAGTTGTTCACCAGATTAAGGGAGAATGGGAGACTAGAGATAACAAGTTGATACCCTATAGAGACTATATCCAACAACTGGTTGAGCAGTTTGAGCGGATAGATTTCTACCACATCCCGAGGGAAGATAATAAGTTGGCAGATGCTTTGGCCACTTTGTCATCCATGTTCCAGATAGAGGGAGATAGCGTACCGATTATCCGGATAGCTAGTAAAGATCAGCCAGCATACTGTTGTGCAATAGAATCAGAATCAGATGGAAATCCATGGTATCATGACATAATGACATACTTAAAAAGCAAGGAGTATCCTCCAGAAGCAACAGATAATGACAAGAGAACTCTGCGGAGACTAGCTATGGGTTTCTTTCTTAGTGAGAATATCCTATACAAGAAGAACCACAACATGGTATTGTTGAGGTGTGTAGACGCCAAAGAGGCAGAGCAGATCATTGAGGAAATACATGAGGGTATGTTTGGGACTCATGCTAATGGGCGTGCGATGGCTCGAAAAATCCTAAGAGCGGGTTATTTTTGGTTAACAATGGAGGGGAATTGCTGGAATCACGTCCGTAAATGCCACAAGTGCCAGATATATGCCGACAACATCAATGCACCCCCCAACCTGCTCAATGTATTATTAGTCCAGAAAATGGTGGTGACCTATAGAGATTGGCACGAGATGTTGCCATTCGCACTACATGGGTATCGAACTTCGATCCGCACATCAACTGGGGCAACACCCTACTCATTGGTCTATGGGATGGAAGCAGTTCTACCGATAGAGGTCGAGATTCCCTCATTGAGGGTACTGGCTGAAGCCGAGCTAGAAGAAGCAGAATGGGTCCAAGCTCGACATGACCAGTTGAATTTAATCGAAGGGAAAAGGTTGGCGGCTATATGTCATGGCCAACTATACCAAAGGAGGATCATGAGGGCTCATGCCAAAAAAGTACGTCCTCGAGAGTTCAAGGAAGGTGACCTGGTGCTTAAGAAGATATTGCCAATACAGAAAGATCACCGAGGGAAATGGACCCCTAACTATGAAGGCCCGTATGTGGTAAAAAAGGCTTTCTCAGGTGGTGCTCTCATACTAACCAACATGGATGGTGAAGACCTTCGTCTTTCAGTAAATTCTGATGCAGTGAAGAAATACTATGCATAAGGCGGCTTCCTATAAAAAAAAAAAAAAAAAAAAAAAAAAAAAAAAAAAAAAAAAAAACATTTTCCTTAGAAATTTCGATGTAATGATCATAATCACCATTTTTCATGCATGTTTTAAAATCAAAATGGAGAATGATGTAGGAAAATTCCCATAAAGTGTGAACCCCCAAATGACTCTTTCCAATGATATAAGGCTTCTTTGTAATCCCCAAACACCATGGAAGATATCCCTAGTTACCCCTTTCGAGCCTAGACGTCAGGAAAGGAGATCCATTCTAAATAAACCCGTAAAAATATCTGTAACCAGGGAAGGGTAGCTTTCCAATACTCCTCAAAAAGCTCAAAATGTAGCTACAGACTAAGAGAGTGAGAGCCTAGGAATTCCATGAATGAAAGAAAGTCCCAAAGAAAAATTCCGCTAAAGCTCATGACGTGCTTTAAGCAAAAGTTAGGACGAAGACATACCAGACTCTCACTCACAGTGAAAAAAAAAGCAAAACAGTAAAAGTCAAAGAGAAGAATAATTGGATGTAGGATATTGGAGAAAAGGAGATGAAGGGGGAAGGGAAACACATTTTGAGCCTTTATACCTATTTTATTGAAAAAACTATTCCGCCAGGCCACAATTCAAGCCAGAAAAGTCCTTGTTGAGGAATAGATCGTTTGGGATCACACTAGGGTAAAAAAGCAAACTGACTCCGAAAAACACAAATTTCTAAATGCATTCTTACTATCAAACCAACACTAAGTGATCATTACATCGAAATTCCTAACGAATAATGAAAAAAATGAAGAAAATATGACCCGTTAGGTCGAAAACCCGGAAGGGCGGCCTAAGCAAAAGTTAGGGAATATAAAGAAGGAAGTCACCCCAATCAGAAAAGGCGATGCATATGCATCACTAGAGATATGGGTTTTCAAAACAGGACATTGGGGCATAAATTATTGGATGAAACACTATCCTCCAATAAATTCTTGGCAATGATCTTAAAATCCTTTGAGCGTAAGGCTGGAACTTCAACATGGGCGAGCAAGATACTGGGGCAGTTTATTGGACGGTTATTCTTTAAACTCTTGGGCCGAAAACTCAGTGGCGTCATCAATCAGTAGTAAATTTGGAGAAATACTGGGGCAAAGTTGTTGTAGGAATCAGAAATTCGGTTGAAAATCAACGAATGAAAATTAGTGTTGTCATTCTTGTATAGATAATTGAAAGAGATGTCATATACACTTTCCCGAAATTTTTCCACTCCTCCATCATACCTTATTCCCTCCATGCATGACTATGTTTATGTAAATTATACTGATGAACAATAAAACAACTTTTTATGATAGTCGACTAAAAAACAAAGTAATGGCACACGCTAGCGACTTATAGATCCTCGCCCGGAGTTGCAGCTATTCATTCCAAAATGTAAAGGTGTCTTAAACCAGATGCAATGATTGCGACACTTAATAAAGCGAGAAAGTAAAGTTTTGTAAAATGAATCTCATAAGAGAGTACCAAATTGACACGCATCCCATACACATAGTCCAACAGTTTAGTTCATTCATAACATGCATTCATTCATAACATATATTCATAGAAAAAAAACAAACAAACTATAGACCTTAATGGGTAAAAGGGTAGACCAGTTAGAATCAACCGTCACGGTCCCTTAGCCTAATGTCACCTAAATAGGTTGTATTTTCATCTTGTCTCGAGCCACTGAGAGCTCGCAAATTTATTTTCTGTCTCGAGCCACTGAGAGCTCGCAAATTTATTTTCTGTCTCGAGCCACTAAGAGCTCGCAAATTTATTTTTATGTATCGAGCCACTAAGAGCTCGCAAATTTATTTTTTTGTCTCGAGCCACTGAGAGCTCGCAAATTTATTTTTTTTGTCTCGAGCCACTAAGAGCTCGCAAATTTATTTTTATGTCTCGAGCCACTGAGAGCTCGCAAATTTATTTTTTTGTCTCGAGCCACTAAGAGCTCGCAAATTTATTTTTATGTCTCGAGCCACTGAGAGCTCGCAAATTTATTTTTCTGTCTCGAGCCACTGAGAGCTCGCAAATTTATTTTTATGTCTCGAGCCACTGAGAGCTCGCAAATTTATTTTTCTGTCTCGAGCCACCGAGAGCTCGCAAATTTATTTTTATGTCTCGAGCCACTGAGAGCTCGCAAATTTATTTTTCTGTCTCGAGCCACCGAGAGCTCGCAAATTTATTTTTATGTCTCGAGCCACTGAGAGCTCGCAAATTTATTTTTCTGTCTCGAGCCACCGAGAGCTCGCAAATTTATTTTTATGTCTCGAGCCACTGAGAGCTCGCAAATTTATTTTTATGTCTCGAGCCGCTGAGAGCTCGCAAATTTATTTTCTGTCTCGAGCCACCGAGAGCTCGCAAATTTATTTTTTGTCTCGAGCCACTGAGAGCTCGCAATTTATTTTTTCTGTTTCAAGCCTCTGGGAGCTCGCAAATTTATTTTATCGTCTGGAGCCCCAAGGTGCTCACGTGGTCATCGTCTAGGCCTTGACAAAATTCATGTTCATTTCTTTACTAGTTACTTACTATAACAACATACAAACTTCAGTTTGTTTGCTATCAAGTAAACAACAAGTAAAGAGGGGCAGCTGTGAACACTCAATTTTGTCCGGCCTATTCTATGGAATAAAAAAATCCAAAAAAAAGGGACTTTGGAGTTTGAACCTTGAATATTGTTTCCATGTTTATAAAACATAAAGAACACAACAATAAAGCACCATATATTTGAGTCTTAGATACAAGGATATTAAGGTTCCCACAGATTTTTGATATTGCCCAAATCTCTATCCAGAAACTAATAGTCGTGAGTAGAGAACAAAACTAACTATATACAATCCAAGTATTAGAAGAAGAAATGAATGCCTAAGATCTTCAGTGAATGTTGAAAAAATGAGACAAACAATGGATGTTAATGCTATGATTCCCCAACAGAGACAACATGTTGATTATACTGCCTCTCTAATCATGAGAGGGTTTCTGGATGAACAGTTTAACCAGCTCCAGCAACTCCAAGATGAAAGCAGCCCAGATTTTATGGTTGAAGTGTTAACTCTCTTCTTTGAAGATGCAGATAGGCTCCTCAATGAAATGACAATAGCATCAAGTCATGAAAGCATTGCTTTTAAGACGTTGGATGCTCATGTCCACCATTTGAAAAGAGCAGCTCCTGCAGAGAAGAATCAAAGATCAAATATTATTTACACATTGGGAGAATTATGAAATGAGCAATTGGCCAAGGACTACACGTGAAGGTTGCACCTCAAAACACAATCAGCATCAATGATGTTAGTTATGAGCATGCTACAAATCAGAATAGTCAAAAGATATTAAGAAATCAATGAATGTTGAGCAGAGGACTAGTCATGGGAAATTTATCAAGGGACAGTTAGCAGGCAGCAATCAGAGACACTGGCTTTCAGTTACAATTAGAATCATTAAGCAGCAATGATGGATAATCTTGAATGAATCAGAAACAACAAGCATTAAGAAGAAGAATATACAGGCAGTCACATAAAAGAATAACCAAGGACACCAGTTACATATAAAGAAAAAACTACTTATGAATCAGAATAATCAACACCATACGGTTACATTCCAAAAGGCAATCAACACCATTAAATAAAGACAAAAGGAAAGGAGGTAGATTAGCCAGGGGGTTGCACAAATTTCAGGGATACTAACCAGCTCTACAATCAACAATGATCAGCATTTGCAGTTACAAAAGCAAACAAAGGCAGAACAATGAGGCAGTAATGTACAAATAAATGGGTAACAGTCAGAAATTAATGGCATAGTAATCAGCAGCCCTCTTTTCAGTTATACATTCAGCATGAATTACAATCATGGATAGCCTTAAATAAAAGAGAGTAACCAGCAGTAACTGGTAGAGTCAGCAGAAGAGTCATAATATTCTATAAAAGAGCATCAGAATCATATACCAGGGACAAGTTTTTTTAGCAATCAGAAGGCATCCAATTTCATATACACGTATCCCCTAAGGTTACAATCGGCCCCTTATAGCAAATCACCCACACGAAAATACCATATACACTACACTAACTCACATCAAGCATCGTCGATTAGGATCAACGCAAAATCAAGAAAGGGTTCTAACGTACAAGGTAGAAAGTAAAGGGCATACTCAGGTAAGATATGTGACATATTCAGTGAACATAAATGAAAACGTATCCCAAAAGCAAAATAATCATGCATATCCATTCATGTTAATTACCAGTAATCGATGTTGGGTATACTCTAACGGGTTTCGTAGGGAAATATATATTGTTATGCGATTTAAAATAAGAAATAACCCATAAATTGAGATGACTCAGATTGTATGTTTGTATTCTGATTTAGCATTCATAAAATAGTCATGAGCATTATTGGGGGAATCATAAATCCTTTAAAGGAAAAAGAAACGAAAAATGGAAGAAATGGAGTCACCTGGTTTCAAGGATCCTCGCCATTGCCGCTGTTACCGTTGACGGAGAAGATAATCGGAGAAGGAGACCGGAGAACCAAGTCGCCTTCGTATTCCCGCCGCGACGAACCGCCTTCGTCTTCTCATCGCGACGAACCGTCCTCACTTTCTCACCGCGGTGAATCGCCTACGAGTTCACCAACCTCCACGCTTGACTACTGCCTCCGCCACTGTCGGAAAGAAGCCCGAGAGAACTCACGACTCACTCCCCCTTCGTCTTCGCACCCCCTTCGTCTTCGCACTTCCTTCGTCTTCGCACTTCCTTCGTCTTCTCACTTCCTTCGTCTTCTCACTTCCCTCGTCTTCTCCCTCTCTTTTTCCCCAAATCCTCCATCACAAAAAATAAGAGGAAACGGATTACCTTGCGATTTGCTGCCGAGAGGAGCTTCGAAAACGGACGTGGATCCGAAACAGACCCATCGGAGATGAAGACCGGAGTAATCCCCGCCGAGAGAACTCACGACTCACTCCCCTTTCGTCTTCGCACTTCGCCTTCGTTTCTCACCTCCGCGGTTTTCTCTCTTCTTCTCACCCTATTCTAATCTCACTCAAATCCCTAAAAATAAAAAATGGAAACCCCAAATCTGACCCCTCTCCTTTCAAGCCTGTTTTGTTTGATTGGGCCCCTACCAAACCCATGTTTTTTTGTTTTGTTTTTTTGTTTTTTTTCAGTTTGTTTATTATATTTTGTTAATTATGTTTCATCCCTTATTTGTAGTCTTTATTTATGTATGATATTTAGTTAATTATTTATTCAAAAGTTTTAAATGGAGTTTTATAGTAAGGTTATGACCCGTGTTGTCTCTGAATTCTCTAAAAATGAGAATGAGGTCTACGACCAGTGTCATCTCTAAACTATTAATTCCATATCAAATATTTCAAAAATAATCATTATTTGTTCAAGTAATTTTAGATGGAGTTTTATAGTAAGGTTATGACCCGTGTTGTCTCTGAATTCTCTAAAAATGAGAATGAGGTCTACGACCAGTGTCGTCTCTAAACTATTAATTTCATATCAAATATTTCAAAAATAATCATTGTTTAATCAAAAGTTTTAAAAGGAGTTTTATAGTAAGGTTATGACCCGTGTTGTCTCTGAATTCTCTAAAAATGAGAATGAGGTCTACGACCAGTGTCGTCTCTAAACTATTAATTCCATATCAAATATTTCAAAAATAATCATTATTTGTTCAAGTAATTTTAAATGGAGTTTTATAGTAAGGTTATGACCCATGTTGTCTCTGAATTCTCTAAAAATGAGAATGAGGTCTACGACCAGTGTCGTCTCTAAACTATTAATTCCATATCCAATATTTTAAATAAATTTAATCAAATGGTTTAAAATGGTATTTTTTATAGTAAGGTTATGGCCCGTGTTGTCTCTAAATTCCCTGAAAATGGGAAGGAGGTCTACGACCAGTGCCGTCTCTAAACTATTAAATTCCACATCAAAAATGTTTTAGTAAAAACTTATTCTATTACTCAACCAAATCAATACCTTCAAATCAACGAAATCAACCAATTAATTTTCGAACCAGAACTACGTAGCCTTGATTTCCCTATTGCAGCTAGGGATACGTAGGAGCAAGTTGAATTCTTGTCAGACACAACAATAAAGAATAAAACATTTTGTTTTTATTTACTGAATTTTAATAAATAATTTTAAGGGTATAAAAGTCCATGTTATTAGCGAGGGTACCGTTTTAATACGGGCGGACGGGGTGCTAATACCTTCCCCGATCCGTAATCGACTCCCGAGCTCAGAATCTCTAGTTAAAGACCAAATTATCCTAATTGGGCATGTTTAGAGTTTTCTACGTTTTAACCGCAAAGAACGTAGTGGCGACTCCAAATCAATTGGAAGAGGTAGAAATCGAGTTCGCCTCTCCCAAAGTCGCAGGGCCGGTCTTCCAACTGAAAATCGGGTCGCGACAGATAGATCACCATAAGATTCATTGGATGGTAAAGTTGTAGAGGAAGTGTGGACACGTAACTAATCAATTGAAATGTTTTGCATATATTTTATTGCTTCCTTATGTATATGTACCTAGTGATGAACGATCTAAACTTGATCTTAAGTCAAAAATGTGTATCTTCATAGGATATACCAAAGGTTTGAAGGAGTCCAAGTTCTGGGATCTAGTTTCCAGAGAAGTGGTGTTAAGTAGATATGAAGTGTTTGATGAAGATTTTATGCTAGAATAGTTAGTATTAGTAGAGGTTCCCAGACCATATGAAGAGACTTTGGGGTTAATTATGATTCCATTCAGAAATGAAACAATTCAAGTGAAGAAAGGAAATGAACCACGTACAAGTTCAAGTTAAGAACATGATGATTCTCAAATGGAGAATTCAGGTGCGCAAGAGTATCTACTTGCTAGAGATAAGGATAGACGCCTTATCAAACATCGAGAGAGATATGGCTTCGGTTACTCTCTATATTAGTTCGGGAGATCCATGTAGCTTTTAAGAGGCTATAAACAATTATGAGAAAAAATAATGGATGAGTGTAGTGATGGAGGAGATTAAATCTTTACACAAGAACCAAATTTGGGAGCTTGTCCCATTTTCCCCAAAAAAAGAGCATGTAGTTGGGTGTAAAAGAGGAAGCCAACAATATCAGAAAAAGTAGGAGAAAATTTCAAAGCTCGACTTATAGCAAAAGGGTATTCGTAGTAGAAGGGGATCGACTACAATGAGATTTTCTCCATAGTGGTGAGACACACTTCTATCATGGTAGTGTTTTCCTTAGTAGCAAGTCGGAATATGGATTTAGAACAGATGGATGTGAATGATGTCTTTTTCCATGGTGAAATAGAGTAGAAAATTACATGACACAACCAAAATGGTTTAGTTCAGTTGGACAGAGTCAGTTGCTTTGCAAGTCGAAGGCATCTCAATATGGGTTGAGGAAGTCTCCTAGGAAGTTATACAAGCATTTTGACACTTATATATTGAATCTTGGTTACAAGCGTTGTGAGTATGATATTTGTGTTTATGTGACCATAATGATCGCTCTTTTACTTTTCTGCTGCTTTATGCGGATAATATCTTTAGTACTACTAATCTTTTAAGTGATATCAATGAGCTGGATGCCATGATAGGCAATTAGTTTGACACGAAAGATTTAAGGGTTGTTAAAAAGATTCTTGGGATGCATATTCATAGGGGAAGAGAAGCTTAAAAACTATGGCTCTCCCAACAAAGTTATGTTGAAAATATCTTTAGAGATATTTGATACGAGCAATACTAAAGTAGTGAGTACTACGTTGAAAAATCACTTCAACATTTTCGTAGATTAGTGTCAAAGGAAAGATTAAAAGAATTATTACAATCAAAGGTTCCATAGTGTAATGGGTTGCATAATGTATGTTATGGTTTGTATTAGGCGAGACTTGACACATGAAGTTAGTCAAGTTTGCAAGTACATGTTGAAATTGAGAAAGCAACATTTGGAAGTAGTCAAATAGATTTTCATATATTTGAAGGGGACTATAGGCCTTAGTATCATGTTTGACATCCAACAAATTAAGCCTCCAATTATTTGTTATGTTGATTGAAATTAAACTATGAAGGATGCTTGGATGATAGAAAATCCAAAACAGAATTTGTCTTCACCCTTGCAGGCGGACCGATTATGTGTAGATTATCAGTTCATTCTGTTGTTGTTATGTCCACAACAGAAGCAGAGTACATGGCAGCTGGTGAAACTTCTAAGGAAGCCTTATGGCTTATGGGTCTAGTAAATGAATTAGGCATGGAAGAATCTGAATTTCTATTGCATTGTGATAGTCAGAGTGATATCTTCTTGGCAAAGAACCACGTGTATCATCTTAGGATCAAGCATATTGATGTGAGATTTCACAACATCAGAAAGCTAGTGGAGGGAGATACTGTTGTAGAAGGTTCATACTTCAGAAAATGCAGTTGATATGTTAACCAAGTCGGTTACCATAGACAAGTTCATGCATTTCCCAAGCTTGCTGAACATTTACTGATGCTAGACTATGGAGCACCCCCAACCCAATGACAAAAGATGGAGATAGATGATATTCACCAAGATGAAATTTTTTGTGCAATAGCTCATACTCTAGTGGACCGAGCCTTTTCTCCATAAAATTGCAATACAAGTTATGGGTTTGGGCTGATATAAAGCGGGTGAGGTAGAGAGCTATATATTTAAGTATTATGTAAACCTAATAAGAAGAACAACAATAACTACAAACACAAGCGGGTTTGGGCTGATAGTCGCTCAATGCTCTCGGCGGCGTAGGAATAAATTGGTCGAACTTCATTACCAAATTTCTTGTGTTATTCTGATCTCTTCTCCATATTCTCTTTTAAATTTTGATTAGTCGCTTAACAAAGTTTCTTTTTCCAAGTCTATTCATGAGCGTGCCTAACAAAAGTTATCTTGGCCTAATAACCACTTATAGTCCGCCTTAAATGTGTAGGTGTTTGATATTCCCCTTTCCAAGTCATTTCATCGCTCATATCTTTAGAAGAAAGCTATAGGAAAAGAAAGAGTAGTTGAAATTCTTAGCCTATGCAAATATCAGGTATGCTCATGAAATACGTCCTTGACTCTAAGTGCAGAATCTTGGATGTTCACAAAAAAGGAACATGGTAAAACGAATGACCCATGACAGTCCAATTGTACAAGAGAGCTATGAAGCATCAACATTTCAATAACTTTTCCGTATCATATCCGATATGTATCCGATATCAATACTCTCCGGTACTTCATAGATACGTATCAATAGTGTGTCAAAATTTTTATTTTGAAAATTAAATATTTTATAAATCTGATACTTCCCATATACTCTCCGATACGCTTAAAATATTTTTCTGATACTTAATAGCCACTCAAACTACTATACCATATCATTTTAAGAGAGAGAAACATACATAACGAGAGATAAACGAGTCTGACTCCTCCCCGAGAGACCAATTAAGTTTTTTAGTGTATGTTTAGGGGTAAAACCGTAATAATAATATAAATTGAAGGGATAAAACTGTTCATGACTTTTGAGTTTTCTATGTATTTTTAGGTAAATGACCTCTCCATTACTGGAGAGGAGTCTAGCTCGAGATAAACATAATATTCAATCTACTAAGTAGACTTGTAATGATAGAAAAGACAAAACATATATATTGCATAGAGAATGAATAGGAAATGCATATACATAATACTTGTCATCGATTAAATGGAACTTATAATGTTCCTATTTGTCGGTTCAAAGTAAGGATTTCTTATGACAATGTGAATATCATTTTGTATTT